AAACGTAGATATTGACTTACGAGAAGATATTTTGAGTGATATTTTAGCGTTGTCCAAAATAATCGAAAGTGGAGTTGACGAAACTCTTCACACAGGACTCTCTCCCTAAGTTACCAAATAGACACAGCGATAAAGTTAAATTCAAAGTTGTTCCAATTTCGAAGAAAACGACGATTATCCTTTGAAAGATTAAAACAACAACTAAGTAAATTCTGACGATAAATAATTTATTTAAATGGGGATTAGTAACGAATTTGTGGAGTTGAATTAAATCAGAAACAATAAGCGACATCTATTACTAAACCTTATTAGGACAGCTGAACACAAAGCTAGAATTAGAACCCACGCGTCAGTACATCAGAGAGATGTCTGTTCGGCACATGACGTTGCAGTTACAGCCTTAAGACTGCAATAATGGTCCATATAGTGCTTGGCACATAAAGCAAATGAAGCCTCGTATACAATGCAAACGCACCCATCTTTTGAGCACATCTTTCTAGTACACGGACATAAATGTGACCGGCTCACCCCGATAGTTCTAAGACCAGTACAACAATAATTAATATTATCACATTCTTCTCACACTTTCTAGCTCCATTGTAGCGCATTGAAACAATCGCAACATCTCTTTTATTAACTGTCGTACAGTGATGAAATCGCGACTGTATTATTTCTTATAGAAATGTGTTATCTAGATACATTGCACTTTCTTTTTGTATGCCAGAAAAAGAGAAGACATGTGTATTTGTATCAACGCCTACTGTTTTATACGTTTTGGATCGCACACGTCACTTTCAGACAGTAAAGTTATATTTTCTGCACTTTACGATTTTCCGGCTCTCATACTACAATTTCAATGGAACCATTTTGGTCGAGTATTTGATTTCTAATTTTCAGATTTCTCCCTGACCAAAAGATATACTTTCCCCCTGTCTGGATTGGAAGCATCCATCAGACTTCGACGTGTTATAAAGGTTAAACGATACGATTGCTATAGAGCGTGCTGACTCATCAGAGTGAGATATTGCGACCTCGAAGCCTTGATAATTCGTACAATTGTTAAGAAATAAAACAACTCGGCTGTTTTAAAACATAAAATATTCTTGTGGCAATGTTGTTTCAAAAACTATTTTAAATAAATGTAAGAAAAGAAAAGATGCAGCTACGAACAAGCGACTTTCTGACTGGTACAGGCATCAGGTTTTAAAGTATGTCGCAGTTATCAGTAAGGTACCAGTTTTATTTTATTTTGGACGCGTCAATACCTAAAGGAAAGCGATACATTTCGACATGTGTGGGTGTGTATAGTATTTTGCAACTTAATATAATAATAAAAATATGGAGTAGATAGCTGGGATTATGTATAAAAAGAACTTGATGGCAAGGGAGATGGTGGACAAGATAAGAAGCCGTCAAGATCAGTTACGCTAAGAGCAGAAAGATGACGATAATCAAAATTATCTATTATAAAACTTAATTGGACATGTTTTGTCCAACAAAGATAGCCTAATTTATAGACATTATGAAATCTAATAGCCTGTTATTAGCTACAAAAGTTTAAGCAACGAGACAATCAGGTTTTGGCTTTGGAAATATTAGAGTCAGCTTTAAGATCCCTGATTTCGTATGCTAGTCTCGAAATATATAATTACTAAAGCTATCAAACATAATGAAATCGGTAGTCTACAAGATGTTTTTAAAGAATTTGTTAATGTTTTAAAAAATGTCGAGTAGAAACGTGTTTTATATATTTAATTTCTACCATATCATGTTTGCATTGAGTGTACATGCAAATTATATTTCTTATCGTATGCTACCTACCAATCAGCATGATGGTATCGAACATTTGTTCACAAAATTATCACCAGTTAACACTTAGAGTTGATTGCACTTCGTTTTACGTTTATTTTAACACACAATTCCATTATTAGCATTGTTAACAGACTTCCTAATAAGAAAAATGAGGAACATTATTTAATATTCGTAATCTACATAAGTACAATATGTACATTCTTTCATATTTCTGGAGTAATCTGTCAATGCAGACTGCAGACGGCTCAATGTCGGATAAGAAATAAAATGTGGAACATTTCCTTCATTCGCTTCCTCATTGGGTACAAGCAAGAATTAAAAAAAAAGAAATAAGTAGACGCTGTATACAAAAATACCCTTAACGGCTTGAATGCCAGTATACAAGACACAATAGAAAATAAATTGTGTCTGGCGTGGAACCACGTTTAAACACACGTTGGGTTAAGTTACTTCAGTGCAAACGACTTCTTCCATTCTTCACTCTCAGACGCCTATCTCTAATATTTCTATCTATACCAAAATGATAAAGCTGAATACTTTGTTTGTTTGATCGCGCTAAACTACTGGTCCGATTTGAATAATTCTTTGTTTGTTAGATAGTTGATATAGATAGTAGACATGTATCGAGGAACGGCCAATAGGAGCCGCGTAGAGGGTTTTTAACCGCGCAAGAGTAGCTATAGTTTATATTTCTCATCCAATCATATATCTTTTCTTTGATCGTATCGTACTCCTCCTTTTCATCTATCCACATTTAATTTCAGAATAGCTTTGCCTTCACAAGCTTTATCAAAACCACGTGTAGAAAATGTCATGTGAACTTGAAGTTAGGAATCGTGTAAAACTAATAAAAGGATACTGGCCTATGATATGAAACATCCGTGAATGACTTGTGAATTTTAGCAATATACCGTCAAACTTTATTGTCGTAGTAGAGTATCGAGATTATAATGAACCATTATTATTATTTTCATATTAAAAGACGTGAAAATAATGTGATGTAAAGTTGAGACTATTATATACTAGTGCCATCTATATTACGACAGCAAAAAAGGTCATAAGAATGTAGTTGCTGCTTTTAAATTGAAAAAAAAAATGATAGAACAATTAACATTTCAATGCTTCAGAAGACAGAAAGGAAAAAAAACAATATTCTAGCTAAGAGAATGATTAATGATATCATGGAACGCCATATCGAACAAGAAACTTTTCGAAGATACTTATAATATGATGTTGTATAAATATTTTTGGAACTATAAAAATGCGCAAACAAGTTTTTTCTTTCAAATTCACAGAAGTCTAGATATTTGTCTTTTTTATTAGAAAAGAAAACGAAAAGGATAAACAATTATACTAAATTTTATTGGTATTCATAAAACTTGATTTCATAATGTGATCATACCTAACTTGGAGCTAGAACAGGGAGAACTATGGTGCCGTGACTCATTATATTAAGAGTTCACAAATATTTTATTTGGAACAATCATAATAAAAACTAATAGATATTATCATAAATCACAGATTTGGCAATTCACGGCTGCATTGTATTTTTAGACAGAGGCATTTAAACTTTTATTGTATTTTGAAATCCACACCACTTATAGACAGCAATATTCGTAAATTAAGATGTTTAACTTGATGAAATAGTCCAAAAAGACTGAAATTGCTTGTATATTTTTGCTTTTGTTACATTCTATTCTCTATACGGCTATCTAAACGAGCATCCACTTCACATTTCGAAAAAGAATATTTAAAAAACTAAAACAACGTAACATAATAATCTAACAACAAACTAACTCTCTTTATTATGTAATTCTATGAATACATTCATGTTTAAATTAGAAAACATTACGCAACGTTAATTTAATCCAACTTTCTCTTTACCAAAATCTTTGAAGAGAAACTTTTCAAGAAAGTCATGATTGTCTTAACCTATCCCACTGTGACAATGAGCATACCCACAATAACAATACGATATTGAAAACTGGAGCACGAAAAAATAGAAACTCTATAAACTTTTCCGCGTGACTCTAAACATTATTTTCAAACAACAAAAGAGTAAGTAAATAAAAAATGCGTCAAAAATGCGGCGTCACGGTGACCTTTCCACTCAAATTAACTTAACCCACTAAGAATTTATGGCGACTACAAGTCTCGAGGATGAAATCAAGTTTTAATTTACTAGGTAATTATCGTCACAGTTCGCCGGGCAAAACACGCTAGAGTTAAAAAGTAGACCGGTAGCGACATCTAGTCTGCCATGCCAACACTAAAACAGTGCTAAGTTGCGAGGATAGATGGCGCTGGCAGTAACAAATAACAAACTGTAGTATTTATGAGACTGTTGAGATTTGAGCATAAAAAATAATTTTATACTTACAATATGAAATACTGATAGCACATTACAGTATGCTAATTAATAGAATGTTACAGTGCAAATGGGAAATGTTTCCTGGACTAAGTATATAATGAGTATAATGGGCTGGCAACGATTAGTACCTCAAGGGAGCGACCCGGGTTGTCCCTACGTGACCTCGAAAGGCCTTATCTAATTTAAACAGCTTTTGTTTAGTTTTATCTAGTAGCTCTATTTACATGGGACATAACCCTTATTTGTTCGTGCCCTACCGGGCCGACCCAAGGGATTACTAGTGGTGACTCGTATTATGCACGCTTTGAAACTAGGAAACGAGATCTGCCGCTTATACGGTCTTGAGTAAGTAATTATAAGGATTCGTGTACTATATAGGAAATATACTAAATTAAAAGTGTTAATCCTATCAATTAAATATGTAGTTGTCATAAAAATCCAAATGATTACTCGTATTTTATTTCGTTTTATCGTAGGTAATGTTTTACATGAAGAACATTAATTACTTTCAAGCACTGAGGTAACAAAATTATTACTAAAAATCGCGGGTTACCCACGTGAATATACTGAGAAATCCTCTACTAGTTTCGAGTTTTCATGAGCAGCGTGCGCGGTCCGGCGATGATTTAATATTTCTCACGAGTGTTGTTATAAAAAGATAACAAAATTGTTCATCTAAAAAACAAAACAGCCTCATAATCAATTTCTGTTTAACACAATCCCACATAGTGGTACATTATACAGTGGCTAATGTGCACTTCTGCCTACCCCTTCGAGGATAAAAGGCGTGATGTTGTTATGTTACAATTCCACATACCTTGTAAATTGTCCAGCATATACGTCAACAGCTTGGCGGTTCCGTTGTTGTCGTTGTAAATCGAGAGCATCTCCTTGCTAAGTGGGTTCCCCCCTAATCCTAGGAGCTGAAGGTGGAAGAGTTTCCCAAGCTCGTATGGAAGCACTCGGAGGTAGTTGTTGTGTAGATGTAATTCTCTGGAAAGATAAGCGGTTGTTATTCAGGGTTAGGACAAATTTTAACCAAGATGAGAATGCCTTGGTCGTAATAAAATACATATCTTCAAATCTTGATGTAATAACGTCAGTCAGCGATCTCATTGCCTCTTTTTCTTATGATTTCAGGCGAGATGATGGCCAAACGTCATCCTATCAAGAATATAAAAAAAATGATACTATACGCTATTCTTTTCTTGGGTTGTCAGAGCGTTCACATACAAAAATCACATCCAAATTCGAATTCAAATTCTGAGGGGGAATAATTTGTTTTGAAAGGTGAGCCAAGAAGTGTATGCGATCAGCCTTCCGATCGCATATTCTAAGCTTCACTTCAAATTCTTGTTATATTTCATTCCTTCATAGTTCCAATATGTCTACCGAACAATATTACACTCAGGTACAATTCAATAGATAAAGTAAAACAAATAACAAAGATATTTAATTTATCTGCCTTATCTCCATAATGCAATACAGGGCGTGATACAAATTCAGTATTTCTTCGATAGACCGTGACATACATGACTAATGAGCATATCTCTTTGAAAAGTACAATTTGGCAAATACATATACCGTCACGATGACTCTTGACAAATACTTTCTATAATCATGTCGAACATGCTAAAATACTTCATGGTTATGAAGTTTCTTAAAATAGCACTGTGTTTGAGAACCCGGTGCATGGCAATAAGTTTGTCCTCAATAAAAAAAAACAATAACATAAAACCCTCTGGTTTTGTCTACGAGCAATAATTTGACTAGAAGATGTAAAGAAAATAAAGGTCTCGTAGAATTAAACTTCCAAACTTAACCCACTACGAGTTTTATTCTCGCGAGTTAAGAATAAAACTAATTAGTCACAACATAAGGTTGATAATTGAACTTCATGACCTTAGAAGAGGTGCTTGTTCCCATTACTCTTATACCTAATTCTATTTTACTACCCACTACGCGTTAGGCGTTCGTCTGGGATTCCAACAATGTGACCTCAAATTTTCTCCTCTAATCAACCAATTTAGAACGTACGTTTGCAAACGTTATTATTTTAACAATTCTAGTATTTCTTACAGTTCTCATGATATTAGACTTCAATAGAATTAATTACACAATTAGGTTAACACTTTCACAGTTCAAATTCTCGACGTGTTTATTAAGAGGTTGTTGACTCTACCTTCATTATTGAGTCTAGATCTACATTTAGTTTTTTAGATACCTACAAACATTTAAAATGAATGTTGAAAAGGCAGAAATGTATGTTAACGTAACCTTCATTCTTTCTTGGGATCATTAAATACAATCAATTAATAATACTTATTAGGTACGTAGTATATTAAGCATTACGACTTATTAACTAGATTATTTAATCAAAGTTATGAACAAAAGCGATGCTTATGAGTTTAAATCTATATTGTTACTTTTAGTTTGGGTAATCTTGATTTATTTTGTACAGGTTTCAGGGCAAAATCACATTATTTAAATAAACATTATTATAGGAACAGATTCCATACATCACCAGAATAGGGATTAAACCCCTTTTCTAAACAAAAATATGGTTTTATGACTTACATAGTTTTATACCATACATTGTCGGTCTTTATTATTATTTAGGTGTGAATTTAATACACAGAGTACGATAAACAAAATTAAACCGTGGCAATTTCCGGGCAGATAGCGATAGTATTAATAATTACCTCAAATATTATAACTACACCGTCATAAGTTCACGTTTCGGGTCAACGACCACACACACGATTATTTTTAGGATTTTATGATATAAGTAATATTCATACTTGATTAGCAACACCTACTTGGCTACCTATGTAGTTATTTCATGTCTACAGAAATGAGAAATTGAAATTCTCATGATAACGTATTTCAGATAAAGGTTAAAATAAGAAAGTACATACTAAACACATGGTATATTAATTTGACAGACAACTAAGTTTGGATAATGCTCTTGCGCATATTCGAGCAAAGAAGAGAATTCAGGCCTTGCATTTAATTTTGCCTAACATACATTAGATTATATCATTAAACTATCAATCTCGCTAACCATCTTTGTTGTTCAAATGATATTTGGTGGAATTTCTATGCACAAAGTTCTTAGAATAGATACAAAGAATATACGTAGTTTTTATTTACATATTTGCATAAATGTAGCCTTAGAATTTATCCATCTAAAACTGACATCTTGTAATTAATTAATACTCATTTAAACACGCTACAAAGTAACGTGACGAATCGCAACTAAAGCTAAAACATTTAATATAATTCAGCATTTAAATTACTAATCAAACTGTATACAAGCCTTCACAGTGTTTACAAATACACGTCGATGGCAAAATACACGCGAGAGGTCAAAGACCTTGGATCTTTACATATGCGTTCCACTAAACATGCCATATTATACACACAACAGAGCTAAATGCAAATATTACTTGTTTTTACACTCATAAATATTATTATCATTTGATAAAACTGAATATATAAATAATATTATTATCTAAAAAGCGTTGTATTGTGATTACATCAAGTCACGACACCTCAAGTTCAAGTAGATAGCTACTCTTACTTGATAACTGATAGAAAGCACTCTTTGATTGAAAACATGTTTATTTATACCTATGTTATACTTGTTGTGTAAACACAATTCTCGTTTGTTGTGTTTGTTTAAAATATTCACAAAATATTATCGGGTCGAGTTGTGACTTAAGACTTGTAAGAAATGCGAATATTTCTTACGCGACAACATATGGCCGTGACATGAAGGAAATTTACATTGTAGAATGCGTAGTAGAGTTATTTTATTCTGTATGCGTATTTCCAATCGGCACTGCATGTCAAATTTCAGTAGTTTTAGCGTAAACGAATAACAAAATATATCCTTACAAACTTTCGTATATTTCACGCAGTATTTTGTTTCACAATCGAAAGCAACATTCGATTGAATCATCCCATAATAATTGGACAAAAACAGAATACAAAAATACATTACTAAATGATTACCCAACTTTGGCAATACTGCCAATTAGAGAGATAACCGTACAAGAATGTGAACCAAGCCATATTGGGCAAAAAGCGATCAAAAATAATACTTTTAAGGTACATAATTGCTAACCAGCTATTAATACCATCAGTGTTGCACCGAATTAGCATAAAGGTCGACAGTTTGCAAGTTAATGAGTACACACGTCAAACGTTTGAGATATCTAACGAGGTCAGCATTGCTCACTGATCGGAATTAATTCGCTTACCATACAATCTCTTCTCTGCGACCGTGAATACCACAACTGTTTATAAATATCGTGTTATAATTATTACAACATTTCATTTTCCGAAACAGAATTACCAGAAAAGGTGGGTAGACGTTATATCATCGAGGATAGAGCAAATCCATTGGCCGTAATTCGGTGTACCTGACAAATCTGACAATTTAGAATTATATAAAATATAGAATTCAAGAATTTGCGAGCAATTCATTAGGATCGAGTAATCAATCAATCACACCTCAAATATTATGGCCTGAAGACTTAAACTGGATTAATGAAATTGTTGACTACGTCCAAAATGAAAGCTTAAAACAAAACAACTTCTAAGACCAAAACCACGCAAGTACGGCACCGAGCTCTTCTCAATTTCTAAAATTACTCAAGATGACTTGTGAATTCGTAAACCAATACATCAATACATATTACGACAACATTGTTTACCTTCAAAGCACGAGAAACTCACGTACGATGATGTAAGTGATGAATATGTCATGGCACTACGAAATTATATAAACTCTCCCATGAAATGTAAGTATTAACATTAAACAAAATATTTAAAACCTTATACAGACAAAAGCTTCAATAGAGCTTATTTTTCATTAAAAAGATGAGGCAAGAGTAACAGCGAATAAGTACTACTTTCACCAATTACTGCTGTACAATTAACGTATCTATGTCTATTGACATACAATCCATATACTATATGCAAAAGTAGATTCAATTATTAACAAAACAGTTCTAAATAGCAAAATGATTTCTCGACCAAGACTCATGATTCTCGGACGTAGTTATATTTACAACTTGAACATCTTCTAAGGCCAAAGTCTGATCCACAATATCTGCCGACTAAGCAATAATATCACATGATATAACAATTAGTTCATGACCACGTCAACATTTTTCTCTGCGATGTACCTAATAATTGAATGCAATATGCAGCCATAAGCGCACGCTCATCATTTCTGCTAAACCGTGTCATTCAGGGGAAAGTGGAGGGAACCAGATCACGAGGCAGACCACGACGCAGATTACTTATGAGCTGGACTGATCACGTCAAATCGGAAACAGGAAACAGGCAACCCAGTGACAGACTGCGCCAGACAATCCACAAATAGGGAGAGATGGCGGGAGATCGTAAGGAAAGCTGTTGCCTCCAACACAAATACGGCCACCTCAATGTGACCACGACTGCTCAGCCTAGAGCGATACGACGGAGAAGAAGTAGTGTTATTAGTTTAAAAAGTTAGTTTTATAGTTGCTATTGCTATGTGTGATCTACTTTAATCTAAGTTGTTATATTATATTGTAGTAACGAATGATACCGAGATGCCAAGCTAAAGATTGCTTTACTTCACTACATAGTATAAAACAAAGTCGCTATCCGCCGTCTGTCTGTCCCTATGTATGCTTAGATCTTTAAAACTACGCAACGGATTTTGATGCGGAGTTTTTTAATAGATAGAGTGATGCTTAAGGAAGGTTTATATGTATAATACATGCATATTGCACACGTGCGAAGCCGGGGCGGGTCGCTAATTTAAAATAAATGATTGATGAGATCAATACTCATATTCCTTGCTATTATTTTTACATAAGATATTCCGATATTCTGTCAGATACATTCTATTATACACTAATCATATTTTACTTCACTTCAATTATACCATTTTTATCCAACAACACCGGCGGGTAAAAATAACACCTAACTCTTCCTAATATGTGATCCCATTCATTTATTGTCTTCGTGATGTTATCAAATATTTTATATTTAGACGAGCATGAAAAGGCTCGTCCGAAAATATCTACAATTTAGTGTATCCGTGCGGAATTCTCTACAGCTAATGGTCATTTACCGAAAAGGGATATACCGAGCTATCTTTAGATTTGACTAAGCAATAAATAACTACGAATGCGAGCAACGAGTAGCTTGCACCACTTCTAAAATATTTAGTTTGTTCAGACAGTGCAGTCTGCATTTGGACATTTTCTTTATTCTTTTACCAATTAAATGTCTATTTTAATAATTAACGACTTCTACTAGATAATAGAAGGCTCCTATTATCAAAATAATTAATAATCAAAACGCAATTACCCGATAAAAGTAATTCTTCTGCAAAACAAATAGGTATAAACAAAATAAACATCCTTACTTATGGTCATCGCGAACTGAACGATGTAAATATAGAATCGAAGGTCGAGGCGACGCTACGCGAACTTTTCGACTAACTTTCACTCAGAACAATACTTAATTATCTGTGAACATTTTCCCCCAACGGTTTGTAGAACCTTGATCTTAATTTAAACATTTATTTAAAGATTGTTACTTAAGCAGTCGAATGTTTTGATACAAATTGAACTTGACACACATAATTCTTATAATTTGTTAATTTATGGTCGATGTAAATGATAGCTTTTTGTTGATATAATTTCAACGAAAAGAGATTGAATTAAGGATCACAGACGAGACTGTTTCACTTGAAATATATTTTCGATATTACTGTAGGTATAGTTGACCTTTGAACTAGATAACAGAACTAAATCGGTGTACTTGTATCGGTGTGCTCTGGCAAAGCCCCGCAATAAACTTTATTTATAAAGCCCTCGGGCATTCAGACGGTACACGTCAATAGTCGTTTATTCCGTCTTAGATAAAGGTTTTATCTGGCAACACAAACAAAATATCTCTTAACATTTATACTCTTTGCTCTTTATCTACCAAATCGGGAACTTGGTACTTGATTAGAAATGTAAACAATTAACTGTTTATCTGATTGTCTGTTGTTTTTTAGTGATAATACAAGTGCCTACTTCTGCTTCTAAAGCGCCAATGTATTGTTGTATTATTTATAGATTTGGGATTTTGAAAATAATGTTTAGTAGGTATATATGCTTCTGCAGTCTTCTCGCGACAGTTAGTTCTATCTGACGAAATACATCAAACGACAAAAAAGTCGATTTAAAAAAGCGGTAACGACAAATAAATCACAACGTGTACACCACTAACGTTTATTACAAGAACTTTTCCTTAGAAATCGTTTCTTGAACGAAAGAGAAAGTTAAAAATGGCAATACTTTCATGTACTGTCAGAGTAAATTTTCTTGAAAGGTGAAAGAAACGCAAATCATCTGCGAACGTAACGTTCAAACAATTTATGGTACAATATCGAAAAAATATTATCTTCATAATGATATCATAAAAACGGAATGGAATTATAATGTATGTTAATGATCCAGATCAGAATGGAGCTCCATAAAATATTCAAGGATAAGATTAAGACCACTTGTGGAACTTTCATATTTCAGATTAAGGGGATTTTAATATTTAATCTGCCAATTTTAATAATTGACAGCGTCCGTATTGGAACTTTATGGAGCAGAAACTAAAAGTTGCGCAGGCGCAGATAAACAAACTTACATCAATAATAATTACACAATTCGGTAATTTGATTCTCAAGTTACACATGAGCTAATGAGACGTATCGTAGAGTTTAAACGATGAAGTTTTTAACATTGCTAAGATTAAATTCGGATGTCAATGCTGTCAAGTTGAACTTGATTTTCTAATAATAGCCATATTTGTTAATTTATCATTATTTTGAATTTATTTACGTTTTCGTACACTTTATAACTTGGCGAAAACTTCAAACTTCAAGAAGAACTTCAATAAACAGTATAAAATTTTCTCAGCCATTAAACAGTAGAATAACATAACTTACTCAACCATCAATCTGTCCGTCAAAAGTATTATACTAAGTACTTGATAACTAGAAAACTTTAAAGTTTAACCAAATATTCACCTTAGTTGAATGAGGTCGCCAAGTTCAGCGGGCAGCGATCTTAGCTTGTTATTGGATATATCGAGGGTATGGAGGTTGACCAGCTGGTTGATGTCAGGTGGGATCCTCTGCAGCGAGTTGTCGTTCAGATACAGCGCCGTCAGATGCGTCAGTTGGAAGAGTTGAGGCGCCAGGGCGCGCACACCTCCTGTTACCTGGAAACATTATTAAAACCGTTCAAATTTAGATCTAAAACCTGAAGACTAATGTCTTTTAGTTTATATCTAGCGAAAACTGGTATTATCTGCAACATCCTTGTTTATTCCTACAAGGAAGAACGGAATTACAACGGTAGAAACTCATGATAAGACGAAGTTGACAGCACAAAACTGTATTTGGACATATTTGATCAGATAGCTCCATAAACATACTAGATGAAGGGCACAAATGGACATTTAAAATCAAGATATCCTGGTCCACTTTTGTAATATCATCACAAGTCACATCTTGACACTATTCCATACATATTAATGTAAAATAATGGTTACAGCAAACACATTTGTATGCAACAAAGGAAAGACAAATAAAATTAACCTTAATTTATATTTAGCCTAAAAGGATAAATTGTTTTATAGAGGATGGTAAAGTAAATAAACACTGAACGTATCTCATGACGCAATTAATTAAAATATTCAATGCCACACAAAAAAACGAAGTCTAAAGTATACAAGATACTTTATACAAATAAATATTCAAGAATTAGCTTAAAACTAGAACATTCGGAAATAGATTAGAAAATTATATTGTGACTTGTTCAACACCTTTTCTGTCCGGGGAATTTGTTGAAAGGTTTTCGAAACTAGAACCTTATTGGTCATTTGAGGAAAAAGGGTAAATACAGGGTACCAAAAAGGTTTTCTCCAGGGAGGTATTAAGGGAACTATTACAGAAAAGGAACAAGTTGTAAACAAGACTATAGCCAGGGATGAACTTCGTAATGAAACAAAATACTATGCAGATAGCAATATCATTTGGCAACAATATCTATGCAACCAAAATATTTTGAACGTTTCAATGCTATATTTATATTTCTTTAGCATTTTCGTGATTCATTTCATCATGTCATGTGATAAGGTAATATTAATACAGAATATTGAGTGTGATTCATATCAGGATAGAGAATCAATTTGTCCATACTAATATTACTAGAAATTGAAGAAATAATAAAAAATATTTTAAAAAGAGGTTTTATGTATGAGCAATCATTCTCTGTTTTTTATGTCATCAATTCCAAGTAAGAGTGGAACGAAACTATTTTCAAACAAGGATATGAAGAATTAAATATTTTTAACATTGTCGCTAAGATTTTTAGTGTCCTGCCTGCATTTAACTGATGAAACATTGGTTATTTTTTTACAGGAATAGAACTAGTGGTAAGAGGACAAAAATGGTGTCTAAACCCTTACCAAACTACATTTCAGTTTTCATAGATGTAAAAATAAAAAAAAGAATCAGATTCGTAGTAAGAAGGTTAGGGATATGAATTACCTCAAGCGTGGTCCAGCCCCCACGACGGCCGGACGCCCGCTCCGCCTCCGACATAATGTGGTAAGTGCGCCCGCTAGCGCCCTCATGCTTGTCTTTGTTGCGAGACATTCTGTCACCTGGAAGACCACAAATAAATTAATATCATGAACACAGAACCAAGTACTACTACATACAGCCAACAAGAGAGAAGAGGAAGTAAACTTTTTATTGAACTTTTATTTTTAATCTATATTTTACAGTGTCAGAATGAAACTGTAATTAATGACTGTTGTATTTATACATCTTTGCCCTTCTATAGCAAGGATATATTGTAAATGGGTTAGTTATGAGTTGGCTGTAGTTGATCTATTTATAATTTATTTTAAATCTGTTTGTACATTAATAAATTACTTTAATAATTTTCTACTGTTTAATAGATGACTTAATGATGGGATGTGATGCAATTTAGAATACAATTTAGTCAACATTTGAGTCTATTTAACATTATGTATGATGATATTCATAATGTGCTAATGAAAATAATATTTAAGGCATACATTTATTTCGTTGACACCCTTTATTAATTAAAACAGTATTGTTTAGTTTCTATCTCACTTTTGATGGAATAGTGAAACACCGTTTCAAAGGACATCAAAATAGAATAACCCTGTATAATGATTACAACACCTAAATTTACAAATGGAAGCATTTGAAAGAGTAATAACAGTAACTTGTGATATATGTGGATAAACAAACATTAGTGTTTTTAGAACAATCCAAGATAATTAACATAGAATAAATCACCTAAATAATTAACCAGGATAATTGTAATTAGCCTGAAAAAATATACAATAAACTAATCATAAAATTTTAATGTCAGTTAACATGGCAACAAGGCATAAAATCTTGAACAATGATTTTCCAATGTAACTAGGTCAATTTCTAATCCATTCAAAGTTAGATTTAAAATTGCAGTTTTGAATAGCAAACATTTTTTGTTTCTTTTGTATTCAACATGTTTGGTAAGTTTTTTATGGCGCATAGAACTGATAGTGGGAAACTGAGTAAGGTATAACATATGCAAATAGCACGAAAAACGATAGTTGCATTAATTGAGATTGAGTTTGCAAGGTTTGTTTGTATTTTAGTGTCTATGTATTTAGCGTTAAAGTTCAATTTTAGAATGTTGGCTTACACAGACACATATGTTTATGAAGACTGTTATGGATATTAAATATGTCGAGAGCCAAGTATAAATGAAAACAAAGAAGACTGCCATATTTACTTTGTATCAACGAAATATTAATACTTTAAAATGTATTATTAGAAAAGTTCTTATAGTTTATTATAACTGTAATTGACTAAATAGGATTTTTCGAAATTGTTCTTTAGCTTGCATTATTTTTATAATGTTACCTTAACTTCTAAATGATATTTTATGATACAATTACCTACATAGCAACAAGTAAACTAATGTATTACCTACTTATGTACCTTCTGATTTCTAAGACACAAACCTTATGACAAACAAATTATGTCAATATTTATTTTGTATAAGTAACATTGCTTGGAAATCTGTTTAAGTAATGCTTGAGTCTTGGTTGAGATTCTGCAATGTGCTCACAAAGTTACACATAAATAGCTGCATGTTTTCAACACTATGTGTAGATTTTCTTCCATTAGTAGAAAATAAACTTGTAATAACTTCCAAATATGTTTAATTATTATGTTCCATGGTGGTATTGCATCTAAATAACTTGAATATGAAGATTATGCTATTTAACTCTAAAATTAGAACAAATATTACTCAACAAAGTTACAAAACTAAATCTGAAATGGTTTTTCTGAAATGTTGACTAACACTTCTGTTAAAACAATCCATATTTCGTACTAACTACGTAAACACTGATACGATTGTTTTCATACATATGGACACAAATTTATACGCTAAAGCACTAGTAAACGATAAAAATGTACCTTTATAACACCGCGAGGGGTCATTAGGTGTGATAAAACGACTTTTTTCGACAAATTATCTTCTTTGTAAAAATAAGGACAACACAAGTCCATAACCTCCGTAGTACGGCGGATAAACCTAAAGAATACAGTTATTACACATGCTTAATAGGCTTTCAACAACGAAACCAGACCTATTTCCTTGAAAAAGTACTGATTTAATTCATTAATTCAACGATTACTGTATAAATGCGTAGCATCTTTGTGTACAGCTGACATGAAAGAGATGAATCGACTCGTACCACAGTGGAGTCCCCAAGCGCCAATTCAGTATTCACACTTACAACAACTTGACTCTAAAAATAACTGAATAACTAATTAATACACACCTTCATCTACTCCTTAAAACCTTTTACTTCAAGTAGGATTATACTTTTGGGAAATAATTCACTGTAAACAGACAATGGGACACTCTTGACAAACAACCACATCAAACGTCCATTTACCGACTGCAGCGACAATCGACATTAGCGGCAAATTCTAGAACTTTACTTGGTGTTGTGGCGACCATAGACGATAAGTTCTCTAGTGGCGCCAAGTTTAAATAAATTGAAATTTAACCTCTTTGTTGTAACTGTAATAGTGTGCTAAGATTATTTTTTTGTTATTTTCATTACTTTTGTTTTACATCTTATTTCACATAGTTTAAAATATTTACTTCACTTTCCGTCAATAATAGGATTGTTCGTTACATGATTGTTTTTTATCATGAGGGTACATAATTGAGGATGTTTTGATTCAATGTTCATCCACAAATATCCATATATAAAATCTATGAATTATAATGTTGTAAAAATTGTTGGATTTTCGTTAGACATTAGTCCATTTCAGTTTGAATGTTTCTAATAACTTCAATAGGTAACTCTTTATAACACATTTGTTGAAATTACATGTGTGAGGTTTAACCTTTGAGAACAGCCGAAATATTTAATAAAAATTCGCTATCTTCGATAATTAACGCTCCAGTCTCTACCCTGCATCCCTGTAATTTTGCTATAATTTAAATAAAAATATTTAATCAAGTCTAATTTATTCCAAACAACAATTGTCTAAGTGCATAATATAACTAGGTTATAAAACATTTATTAAAGTAAGTCTGGGACAATAAAACAAGTATATAACACAAACTTATTGCATTTGTGCTACCTACTTAACCTTAGTGTCTTTACAATAAAAATTAAAATTTTAAATGAACTTTGTTCTTTTGTCGTGAAACAACAACTGTGAACTAAACGAGTGCCCCCATTCCAAGTAGTGAACAGCAACTTATAGCATTTTGAGTAAAAGTATATTTATAAAATCCGTAAAAATGGTTGAATGCAGCAAGTTTATGGTGAATAATAGTGAAATAACAAAATATACGTGTCACCAGCTCATGCACCCCTGGACAGAAAGCTGTTTAAGTGCATTTATCGACATGTCTTGGGCCTGTGGAAAAGGAACAGTGATATATTATACTCCATTTCTAATAATATTTTCAGTAAGTATGGTTTTTACCACAGTGATCATAGTAGCATTATTTTCATGTCATCATCATCATCACCAACAGCCGAAACAAGTCCACTGCTGGACAAAGGCCGGGGAGGCCTTATGTTTTATGTTTTCATGTAAAAAACGAAATTGGCCAAATGTTAACACTGGAATGTCTGCTGTGAGTTCAACATGTAGGTATGGGCTGATTTGACGGGAGTGTGAGTTCCTTTGACTTGCAAAAACAGCAAGAAACTACGCTTACGATGTGATAATTGGTTTCACCGTAAGTAAGGTTATTACGGACGTATGCCGCGCCCTCTCCATCTTTAATTTTATAATCCTTAGTCTCGAAAAGGTCGGAAATTCACTTGTAACTTCCCCCTAACCTATCCCTAACCCCTAACCTATCCCTGCGGCATCCTGCGAGGACCGCCCTGAGGACACGGTGGAACACACTGTAGCGGAATGCCGTGCGTGGGCTGAGCACCGCCGTGCCCTCAGGGAAGTGATCGGCGATGGCGAACTGTCGCGTTCGGGCACAGTGCAAGCCATGATGCGGAACGAGAGGTACTGGGATGCCGTCTCCTCCTTTTACGAAGCAGTTATGCTAGCTAAGGAGGAGGCGGGACGCGTGAGGCAGTGAAGCGCTGCCTCCTCGCAAACCAGCCATCGCGAAGGACACATCAGGTGTCGGGGATCGCGGGACGATATCCGGCCACGGGTAAGTGCGGGCCTGCGGACGGCGAGCATGGGTGGCTCCCCGTCCGACCAGAAACAGACCCGAGCGTACAGCGCGAGCGTAGAGCGTACAGCGCCTCAAAGAGCCATCAGACCACCACAAATAGGGCCCAACAGGGCCGATACCGATTCGGAATCGCGGAGAACCTAACGGGTTACCGGGGCTCCGGCTCGACGTGCAGGAGAAGGAACGGGGTGGTTTTTAGTCAGTAAGAGTCTGACACTCCCTCCTGCCTTACCCACGCGGCAGCAGTGATTCGAAGATTTTTTCCCTTTAAAAAAAAAACGCACTTATAACGCCTCTGGTGTTCCAAGTGTCCACGGGCGACGCCGATTGCTTACCATCAGGTGATCCGTATGCTCGTTTACCGGCTTATGTCATAAAAAAATGTCAGTGGTGTATTTAATATGTACATGTATTTGAAACAACGTAACGACGACGGGCCATTTCACGCAACAATGTCAAATTTCCTTCGTGTCAATGTGTGTTTCTACGTGTTCTAGGTACGTGTAAGTCTGTAGTTACTAGGTGCCACAATCGTTGTTTCAAGATACTATGTCCGCCTTTTTTTAATGTCCTTGGTATGAATCTGTAAATACCACGAAAGAAAAATGAGTTTTTGATAAGATGATATCTGATACAGAAGAATTTAACGAAAAAAGAAGACATTTTGTACTACTGATTGACCTGACCTAACTCACCAAGAGCCAGTTATGGACTGGAAAGTTAATAGAAATAAAAAGTATGATAACTTCTTAAAGAATGTGACTGAAGGTTATACTCATGGTAATTGGTAATACATAAATCAATAAACAATTCAAAAGTCACCTTACAATTTTGTAGTTGGTTCTTACTTTAATAACGACGGCGTTTCCGTTATTTGTGTTGTGTCTATGAATACACATTTTTATGCTGTGGAAATGGAAATAGTACAATCTTTAAAAATTAAAATTAAAATCATTTATTAAAAATGTAATTTGTAGTACTCAATAGTTTATTGAATTTGTAAATGAAATTAACATTAACATGTCTAAAATAAATGGAGATGAAGATTTTAGCTGTAATATTTTAGTGTCAATATTTTAAGCATGAATATTGCATGAGCGAAAAGAATCGACAATTCGAAATTGGCTTGAAAAAGGAGTATAACAAGATTTTACCATTTTACTTTGATTCTCAATTTCAATTTTGAAACGCATCATGTCAATACAAAAATGTCATTGTCACTCTTGTCATACTTTTACTGTTCTGTCACTGTTTTTTGTTGTAAATTGTAATCTCAGGTTGTAATCGGTCAATCGTTGTTGTAAAGAGTAAAGCATAACACGATAATTATCACATTTCAATTTTTTCCTTATGCGTCTGAACATCATACGTTCTGGCGTCAAAATTATCCGTTAGTTTATAGAGTTATTTATGAAAGAACATTAGTTTTAAGTAAACTACGTCAGTCGTTATCAGTGTTCGTAGCACACGCGTCTTCCAAATAAGTGTTAATTTTTATATCATATTTTAAAATGGTTGAGGCTAGTAAACTTTGGTTCGAAGCTGCGTGCAGTACTTGTAAGTGCCATGAACTTATACATCCGTGGACGTACCGATGTTCAGATGCTACGAGAACTATGTTGATAAGTTGTATAAAAGGGAGCTACAAATTCTATGCCATGGTCTATCTTGTAAGTATTCGTGCACTTTAAACAGTTTTCAAATTAGGTCACGTCATATTTGCATGAAAATCACGAATATTGCATGTTAGCCAAAACTCTGTATAATTAATTTGCTAGATACTGGCTTAGTGGCCTTTGAACTTTAGTTTTTTAAGAGATAATTCTTTGTTATATTTACTAGTAGCATTGTTATGAAGCATTAATATACTTAATTATTATATGTATTATAGTAATAACCACAATTATATTTATTAATAACAGTGTATAATTATCAATATACTTTTGAATGTTTGATTTATTAACAACTAGCAACCCGCCCTGGCTTTGCACGGGTGCAATATGCATGTATTATACATTATAAACCTTACTTAAGAATTTCTCTATCTATTATAAAAAAAAACTGCATCAAAATCTGTTGCATAATTTTAAAGATCTAAGCATACATAGAGACAGACAGATGGGGGATAGCGACTTTGTTTAATACTATGTTAACAATTAACAATGGCTCGTGGTGTGTGTGTCTTAAAACTGCTACCTACTAATTGAATCTCCTACTGACCCAAGTGGAATCCCTAAGTCACCTGAGAAGAGTGCACATTAGTAATAATTGTGAACTCATTGTTTCAGATACAAATATTAATGAGAGGCAAAAAACTAGGTAAGAAAGAAATGCTAGAACAATTCAAGCTATATTTAAAATCTGGAGTATTTGGGCTGACAGTTGGCAGTTCCTTTGTCACATTGAACTGCATATTCAGGTAATTTATGAATAAGTTCTTAACTCATTGAGTACCGTTATTATAGACACAATTAAAGAACAATAGGTTGCGGTCACCGGTGACCGCTCGGTGTTTGACAGTTTAAAGGGAAATATCAATTTATTTAACTCTGAATAAATAATTTTCTTTAGATAAGAGAATAAAATGAAATGTAGTATGTATGTTTATAACTCTTGATTGATTGTACCTCTGAATTCAGAAAATCTTAAATCAATGAGAAAGTCGGAATAGCCTATGAACAAAGTAGAGATAAAATTATATTAATGTTAAGGAACTGCAAAGGAGAATAAATAGTGAATACTTAAATGTTACTTCCCTGTATGTTGACAGTTCAACGGTTAATATTTATAATTACTCAATATACAGTATGTGTTCAGTATTGTACAATGCTCTTAAATGTCACCTTGGGAAATATAATTATTTTAGTATTCTGATGAAATAACCAAATATATAAAATATTTTGCTTTGTTTGTCTCTGTTGTGATTTTTTTTTTGTATACAATTTTATTTCCTTCGTTCAAGTTTTGTGTGTAATGTAAAACAATTCCCGAGTTCATAATTTGAGACTCTTTTATGCTATCAGGTATTTCATTTCCTTTTTTTTTTTTTTTAAAAGCATTGCCCCACACTAGGATTTTCTCTTGTGTCGTGGGTGCGTTTACAAACATACAAGTTCACATACACAATGACTTTGATTCTGATTTGAGAGTTTAATTCATATAAGTGTACATAGGCATTCACATAACCGCTTACTATGGTAGAAAAAAGATTGAAATACTTTAAGCTTAGCTTAAATAGAAGTTTAAGTTAATACTAGCAATCACCCAAGTAAACATTGAATAAAAAAATACAATGTTTACATAAATTATTGCTAAACACTCCAAATTATTTTTTAATGTTTGTGTGTAATATACACACAATGACACAAAAACATTGAATAGTTTTTTATAAGGAACAATTTCTTACTGAATGTTTTTAAATTATTTGTTCATTGTAACAAAATATTTTTGTCGTTCCCTCCATGTAGATTATTTATTGTTTTTGTATGCAGTATGTGGATTGCTAACATAAATAAATATATTATTTTCAGAAAGCTGTTTTTCAGTGAGTTTTCATATTATAACACAGTGCTGTTACCATGCACAGTCAGTGGACTAGCAGTATACTGCGAGCCACCATACAGGAGAGTTATGGTGCTCAATCTATTTGTTAATTTGGTGAGTTGGTTTTTTATTTCAACTGTTATTAATTTATATAAATAATAATGATTAACTTACATACTAGAAACTACAAAAACGCATAGTTGCTAATTTAATATTGTCAAACAATTTGCTATCTATATTTATACATAGTTTCAGAATTGGTTAGGATTACTGGGTTTTTAAAAAAATTCTCAGTAGTAGCACGGAGTCTGGAATGGTGCCCGGTATGTAGCATTAGGCTCACCTCCTATTACATGGGACTCATAATATAAAAAGTGAAAAGTGGGTGTTACATTGTACAATGGCATTAAGTGCCGTAATGTGCACCTCTGCCTACCCCTTCGGGAATAAAAGGCGTGATGTTATGTGTGAGTTGGTTAGTTAAAAATTTTTGTTAATCGTCTTCTAATATAAAAAATATATATCATGATTTTGTTATCTTATTCTTTTACAATGGGGTAGACGACTAATTTTTATTTTAATGTCCGTCTGGTAGATTATTTAAAAACATTAGACACGTATTTTTTATTTTCTTACGGAAACGAATAGTTTCGGAGATATATTGATTTGAAATGTCGCGTGACGTCACTTCTCAGTACATTTTATACTAAGAAATGACGTTTTAGCCCCCACTCCTAAACTTTGATTCGTTTTATCTAAGTATTGTTTTATTATACAACAAAATAAAAAAATACGTGTCTAATATTTTTTTATTACCTAAGTTACGGACTAATTATATTTTTAATTTTCATACCCTGTCATCATCCCCATTATGATAAAATATAACTAACGGATAACAGTAGGCTTAAGAAAAATACTTCAAGGTTCAGATCAATACCATTGAATGATTCTGTTGTATATATATTGGATTTTACTTAAAAATATAGATAATATAATTTTTACATGCTTATAGTAAAACAGTTCTGGCTTAGGAATAGGCTATGAAGTTGCCTTTTTAAAAGTCTAAGTTATTTAGTAATTTTAATCTATTTCCGGGGAGTCGAAAATAGTAATAATACATAAATAGAAAATCAATATTCATTCAATATACTAAGTATCTTTTTATAGCTGTTATATGATCATGTACCTATGTGTTTGTTGAATAAATATTTAATGTTTACATATTGTAGGACACACTGTATTACGTCATAGTTCACTTAAAAAGTATAAGTAGGGCTGTTAGTATCATATTTATTGGTAACTAGCTTCTGCCCGCGACTTTGTACGCGCAATCCCGTTTTCTCCCGTTCCCATTAGATTTTCAGGATTTTTTTCTATCATACGAACCTTTTCTGACAATAACAAACACAACAAAAAAAAAAAATAGCCAAATCGGTCCAGCCATTCTCAAGGTATGGCATGACAACGGGGGCCGGGTTTCATTTTTATATATCGTACCTCCGGTGCTATACCGTCACTTGTATTGCGGGGGCCCGCGCGCAACTGAACAATGAAACGTTGTTTTTCCTAGTGCCGTCCAGAATGTCCAGATTAGCACCAAAACCGTAACGACAGGAATGCCCTCACAATGTCAGTTTGCTTACTACACAAATGACAATAACGCACCAATTAAAGAGGTGAATTTGGAGTATTCTTTCATAATCAGTTAAGTTTTGACAAAAATTGCATAAGTGACGATATTGCACCGTAGGTGCGATATATAGATACGTCACTAGTTGTAACTTTACTCGTTTTAAACTAAAAAACTACAAATTTTAATATGGATGACCCATCGAAAATACTCTTATAATATAGACGAAGGATATAGGTATAAGTAAGTACCTATACTTAAAGGCAAATCTTACTAAGTAAAAAAAGGTCGTAAACTCAAAACAAACATAAGAGTGTACCTATGTGAAATAAAACCAGTTATTTTTTTTAAGATTTTTTATTTGAATAATTGTACTTTGGTCAACATCATTCATTATATATGTGTGACAGACACCAATCTTGTAATAAATGAGATAGCTGCAGGGCTCTCTATTGTACAATAGAGGTTACAATTGAACTTTGCTCTCTTAAAATATTTTCTTTCAGTTCTTCTAACTTGTATTTTCAAATAGATATTATTACACAAGCCCATTCATTATTATAACCTACTCTTAGCTGATATAGGACCTATATTTTTCAAATTGCTTGTAAACGCTTATACAGTTTAGCTATCTTAACATTGATTCAGAAACGTCTTTATTAATACCAAAAAAAAGACAATAGGTACTGAGAAGATTCTTTAGATTCTGATATATTCACCCAACTTGAAGCGCAAATACTTATATTGGAACTAGCTACTTCACCCGCTACTGCTCAGCTCCTATTCATCGATAGCGTGATGTTTCCGCCTATAGGCTTCCTCAATGAAGGGACTATCCAACACAATAATTATTAAATTCGATTCAGTAGTTCCAGAGGTAGCGAGTTCACACAAACACAACTCTTCAGCTTTATAATAAGTAGTAAGTAGTACAAGATAATATATAAAATCAAATTAATAGGAAATATAATATTTATTTGTTCATTGGGCCAGCCGGTTAATTTTTTGTTTATTCACTGTCAATGAAACAGATAGGTCGGGAAATCTTAGAATGACATTGAATAATAAACAGTGGTTAGTAAGACGAGTTCGAGTAGGTATGACTTGAAACTTGATGGGTAATGTTCACAGATGTTCGTTTGAGATTTTCATTTAATACTTTAGAACTATAATTATTGTTTAATATGTGCCAGTACCTAATATCGTCAGCATGGATTATGAAACTAATTAATCGATCTATAATATAATGGTGCTAAAATGTTTGTAGGTATTTTTCTTAATCCATTTACAACTTGTAGTTAAATTCTATACAGGGTGTAAACAGAAGGCTCTCTAAATGGCTGACTGGTGATAGTAAAAAAATGAATTCTATTTACATAAAAGTAAGGAATGAAATGTTTTTTTTATGTAATAATAGTTATAATTAACTGCCTCGTAGGCCGAGTGGTCGCAAGTGCGGCTGCCGGGCAAAGGGTCTCGGGTTCGATTCCCGGGTCGGGCAAAGTACTACTGGGTTTTTAAAAAAAGGCGTGATGTTATGTTATAATTAACTGCTCAAGTCATGATAATTATGATGATGCATGGATAACGCGAAAACAAAACGACTAAAATTGTACAAACAATTTATTTTTGTCAATGTTTCGGTAGCATTCTGTTTTCACCCAGTATAGGAATAATTCATACTCATATAGTACTTATAGCAACACGAATGAATATTAACAAGGATTTTACATTTATGATATCAAAAAGGAGGTAGAATAAAACCGTTTAATGTTCGATATGATTTTTATGTTCTATCGGTTTCTAGATGGTATACAAAGAAACAATTTTCAACTTTAATACAAGTGGTATAGAAGTGTATATATGTATATATATACTAGCTACTTCCGCGCGGTTTCACACGCTCTGCTCAGCTCCTATTGGTCGTAGTGTTATGGTTTATATCCTATAGCTATCTTCGATAAATGCGCTATCCAACACAAAAATAATTATTATAATCAGACTTGTAGTTACGGAGATTAGCGCGTTCAAACAAACAAACAAAAAACAAACTCTTCGGCTTTATATAATACATAGTATAATATATGTAACAGCTTACATTTATATATATCTTACTAGCGACCCGCCCTGGCTTCGCACGGGTGTAATATACATGTATTATACATATAAACCTTCCTTTATAATCACTATCTATTAAAAAAAAACCGCATCAAAATCCGTTGCGTAGTTTTAAAGATCTAAGCATACATAGTGACAGACAGACGGCGGATAGCGACTTTGTTTTATACTATGTAGTGAAGTAAAGCAATCTTTAGCTTGGCATCTCGGTATCATTCGTTACTACAATATAATATAACAACTTAGACAATATAATATAACTATAAGTCATGTACAGATGTGTTACTTAACATTATTTTTCAAATCATTGTGATATTTTACGGTATTATTAAATACTTAGATATGTATGTACAATGTATAACAAAAAATTAAAGTTGGACTTTGCACTTACAAAAAAAAACACATTTATATACACAAATGTTGTTTTTGTATATTGTTATATTCGTTGGAGAACAGGTAAAGGGTTAAGATACATAGTTATTAAAATGTATGAACTAATCATAGACAGGTATTTGCTTAAATATAATTTCCAGTTTGAAATATGATTTAATATAAAAATGCATTTAAAATACAAGGTGTTGTTTTAAAGCCGCGTCATTTTCTAGGAGGTAACTCGACTATCGATTCTGAGTCCGAATCAAAAAAAAAATTATAGGTAAATATTTTTCATTTTTCTGTAATTTACGGAAATTCGTTATTGCGAACTACACGCCGCCGTCTTGTAACTAGCTTTATTATAACGCAGCTTAACACACACAAACTCAAACGCGTAATTGATATTATTCCTAATTCCTTAAAACTACAATAAGAAGCATTGCTGTCGCTTTTTCTGAAATACTGTCCAACTTAAACGATTTATTATAGCCGTATTTTTAACTATTGGCCCGATATTGTCTCTTACATTGAACCTTTATGACTTCTGTGACATGCCCCCGAGAAATGACACGACTTCAAAACTACACCTTGTATATAAATTTACGTATATTACTTAATTAAACTTACTATAATATTTGGTTTTAGTTTAGCGCCGAATTATTACTTCCTGTTTCTATACGGTAAATTATGTGTAAAATATATGTACTTATAGCTACTTTATTATAATTTTCGAATTTAATTATCATATCATAGGAAATAGAGTTTTCCTAGAATGAAGTTTATATATATTATGTATTAATTGTTAAATAAAAAAAGAAATATATTTATAATAATTCAAAGTAAAATATAAAATGTGTCTTTAATTCACCTACTCCAGTTTCTTAATAATTGTTATAGAGTATATTTAGCTACTTAAATATTCATAAAATGTGTCAACATTCTATTTCACTCAAATCTACCAATACGCATTTTGAAACAAAGTAATAGTGTTCAAAGTCCAATGACAAATAGTGTATCATTAGTTGAAATCTCTTCCAGGTGTTCGAGTACTGGGTACGGACACTAGAAATGAAAGGCTGGTTGCGACGGTCTCCAGGCAAAGAGACGTTAGTCTTCATGCTTGGTAGTGCCCTCTTCTTCTATCTCATGCGGTTGGACAGAGACAATAATAAACGGACGCCTTTGTTCTGGTATGTATTCCATTAAAAAGTACTGAAACATTTTTGATTAAGACATGGAAAATTAGACTATTTGTTTAGGAACATAAGATTCATTTTGATATACCTATTTCAATATTTGAAATACATTTCAAAATTGAGGTATGTTTAATAATACGTTTATAACTGTTATGTAAGTATGTACTTATAGATCCAAGTATAATCGTTTTGCACATCAAACGAGTTTTTTGAATGCAAATTTATTAGGTCCTGCTCTAGATAGCAATGTTTGAGCTAGTCTATAAATTGTTAAAATGCACCCAGTGCCTACTTACAATAAAATGTTTATTATTCCATGGCTCAACAAATCAGACAAATCAACCTAGCAATTGATTTTTCCCATAAAGTAGTATAGAGATTTTTAGTATAAGTGCGAACAGTGGGCAACAGTTTCAATTGTATGTAAAATACTGACATTCAGCCCAATTTAGTGAAGACATCGACGAGCCATATTCTGTAGCCCCGGTATAGGACAGGAGTTGAAACGGGGTGGTTTTTAGCCAGTAAGAATCTAATACTCATCCTCCCATCTCGCTCAAGTTGGAAGAATTTTGATCATTATCTATCCTCACAAAAAAGTACTACGTAAGAGGTTGAATAATAAATATTATTTTAAAAGTTTTTTAGTAATTATAATCTTAACCTTATTCATAGGTTCTTTACACCTCCACGTGTATCAAAAGAAGTTGGTGAACCAATGACAGGCATCCACGGCAGGAGTCCGGCGTGCCCACACAAAGAGCCGTGCATCAATTATATTTTAAAGGTAAATGAACAGACGTCATAAGTAGCTAATCTCAGAACAATATCGGAGCAAAACAAATAATGTGTTGAATAAAAAATAATAATATACAAAATTATTATTGCAATTAAACATTTAGATGGTAATTGTAAATGTGATTTTATAATGACTATATCGTTAGATATACTGAATTAATTAATCCGTCCCGGAACGCGAGTCACAGTTTTTTCTATCGTGTCTCAAATGCCGGCAGATAAGCTAAAAAAGGCTATTTGAGTCAGATTGAGTAGGTTGCGCGACATCGCCGTGACCGCGCACGCTGCTCATGAGGAAGAGTCCCTCTGTGACTCGAAACTAGTAGAGTTTTCCTCAGTATATTTCCGTAACTCATTTTTTTTTAGTTAATTGTAAACCTAATAATGACTTGTATGACGACTATGACTGTACATTGTCCGTCAGTCGCTTATAAAATTAATTAACTAATGAATTTGCCTGATATTTGGTATTAAGCCCAGCGCTGGTAAAGGCGCGGCGAAGATATACTGAAAATAAATCAATTTAAATTAAACCTTAACTACTATGGTATACGGATGAAAATAGCTTGGTTCGCTGGCGTGCGCTGGGTTTTACAGCCGCAACAGACCTAGTTACGTACATATTAGCTATGCTTATTTTTAATAACATATCTTTTATATATATTTCAGGGCACTGCGCAACTGTTCGGCGTTGGATGCGCAATGACAATGTTGAGGACGCTTATCCCCAAAATGTTGACACCAGTGAAAGCATTCAAATCATTGAAGATGTCACATATGAAGCTTGGACTGTTTTTCGGAGGATACATCGGTATTTATAGGGTAAGCTTATATTTTTATGCTTATCATCAACAGCTTTTAAATGCCCGCTGCTGAGCAAAGCCTCTTCTCACACGGAGAAAGTTTGAGCATTGATAACCACGCTTGCTTCTTGCGGGTTGGCGATTTCAAACTTATAATTAGAAATATAGATGCTAGTTAGTTAGCTAGTTTGTAATAAGCCCAGGTTTCCTCGCGATGATTTTCTTCACCGTTTGTCAGTGGTGTCTGAATAATCTTGGAAAGTACATATAACTCGGTAAAATTATGTATTTGTATGCTCTTTGCTTAGTAACTTTATTATGGGCAAACGAGTAGAAGGTTCACTTGATGGTAAGCAATCAGGTCCACAAACCATATTACAAAGTGTCTCACGAAAGTTATATTATAAAAAAAATTTATATCCACTGTAAACAAAATGATAATGTCTATTTCAGCTAGTAGTGTGCTTACTATGTCGGGCGCACGGGAAGGACAGCGCGATGTACGCGATACCGGCTGGCTTCCTATCAGGGCTCGCCTTCAGAGCATCTCCGTCCTTACCCATCTCCTTAGCGCCTGTCACTTCTTCCTTACAGGTAAGTAGCTACGTTATAATAGACTCACCTCGGCTTCATTTTTGTCCCGGTGATAAAATATTTTAAAATATTTATTTAATATGTGCCATCATATTCACATAACATAACATCACGCCTTTTATCCCCGAAGGGGTAGGCAGAGGTGTACATCACGGCACTTAATGCCACTGTACAATGCAACAACCACTTTTCACTATTTATGTTATGAGTCCCATGTAATAGGGTGTGAGCCTATTGCCATATACCGGCCACATTTCCAGACTCTGTGCTACTACTGAGATTTATTTAAAAAATCCAGCAATATTTTGCCCGACCCGGTAATGGAACCAACAAACAATAAAAACTAGGCAAAAATTGAAACTACGTGTCTGTGTAATTCATTTATTATGCAATCCATGAATTGCTCATATACTCGCAAATACAAAGTCACGCTTGAAATCATAACTTGAGTAGGTAAACAAAAGTAACGGAAATAATTAAAACTTTATAAATATCCTTATTCAAAAATATTAGCCTTAAAACATTGACATATTGATGAATGCTCTCCCACATTCCAGATTCTAGGTTCATGGGGTTACCAGAAAGGCATGATTCCTGAAAACTGGCCGCTCGTTGAGATTTTATACTGTCTCTGCCAAGGTCTACTGTTCCACGCTCGAGTGATGCATGAAGATGTCTGTCCAAGATACATCATCAACTTGATGCATACCGTTACTAGTTCCAAGTAAGTTGTTCTTTATGTCGTTGTGATAGGATTCATTTTGCAATAGAATCGTTTTTCAAATATCTCAAGTTGCTCTGTTAAATATTTCTTTTACAACGTAAAGTTTGAATAATAAACTTTTAAGTTATATGAATCTGAATACTAGCAGGAATGACTTCATAGTTTGCACGGACGTTGGGCAACTGGCTGCCGCGCAACGTGTCGCGGGTTCGATTCCCGCACGGAACAACAATCTGTGGATCACACAGAGTTGTCTAAGTGTCATGTGATTGTGAAGTTGATGTTTGAACGATACAGGAGTAAAATCCTAGTATGAGGCAACGTTTTTTTTTAAATCAGATCGTTAGAGGATAATTTGTCAAAGATACGAATTGTATGATAAAAACCTTTTTCTTTTCAGAGCGGACGAAATCCAGTCAGCATTCATAAAGAAAATGTTAAAGTACGCATCAGGTTAGATAGAATTTTAGACAAATTTATTTGTGTATTAATTTATGAGACGTTTTATGAGATGGGAATACTTGACGAAAAGTTAAACCTATTTAACAATAGTTAAAGTATAGACATTGGAAGTACACATACATATAAGTGTTATGACAAATAGCCACCTGTGATAGCGTATATGGGTAACTTGCGCAACTTAAGTGTTGATGCGCAAACTTGCGCAAAGACAAACTGCAAAATACTCGTATGAATGTAGATATTTAATAGTAAAAGCACGAATGTTGTTGTTATGTGACTTCAAAAACCTTGATATACTAGGAATAAAGTTCATTATCCCTTTCGTCCAGTATTCCTGTCTACATTTTATTTAGGTGCAAGTCTGTGATTTATGTTAAAGCGGATGTTTTGCGGTACAGGGTTTTATTTTAAATGGGTATCATTAAAGGGTTGGTGTTTACGTTAAATATTCCAGTACTTTAAATTATTGACGCAAAACGAAGAGGCAAAGAATAATCTAAAAATAAACAGTATTATGAATTCAATGCCTACCTCATTTACTGCTCGAATTTCATCTTTAATACAATAAGCTTTAGATTGATATTGGTGTTTCAAATGGGATTTAGTTATGACAGTTAAAATATTAATAGACTACATAATGTGTGCAACTTACAAAATATTTTGCATATTTAATATACCAACAATATTTAATATAGTAACATACAACCCAAGTTTAGTTTGTTATATTGCCTCTTCATTTTGCGAAACTACCATTAATTACACACGACGACAAATAATAATCCAGTGTGAATTGACATTTTATTACTTGGTAATACTAGTAAACGTGAGATCAGCTTATGCTGGTGTGTACAAAAGAACTTGATATTATTTCAAGAACAATGTGTTCTTAGGATGTTATGACATAACTGATTTGTAAGCTGTTCTAGCTGAGGTTATACTCTATCCTGTTTAATTCAGAGTGTATCTCTGGAACTAGAAAGGCTATGAAAATAAAGAAAGAAGGAAAGAAAGGAGACGGGATAAAAACTCGTGCGCAAATGAAATGAGTATTTGGTGCATTTGAAATATTTTAGGTAATTACCATTGTAATTACGTCACAAATGTTGAATGTACAATGCAATATACAGTTACGTGCAAAAATTATACTTACCTAAAAATTTTACATCTGAGTTCAAGTCAAAGTAAGTCAAAGTCAAGTCAAAATTAAGTCAAAGTCAAAGTCAAAGTCAAACTCAAAGTATTCATTTTATCATGATTCACTTATTTATCATATTAAATGAATACACTGAATTTAAACCAGAAAACCTTCATGGGTGTACATTTTTTGCACGATACTGTAAACTAGATATGTATTTTGTAAACTATTTGGATGAAGTTAGCATATTATTGTAATGACTGCCTCGTTGGCCGAGTGGTCGCAAGTGCGGCAAGGGGTCTCGGGTCCGACTGGTACATTAATTTAAAATTTTAGACACGTATTTTTCCTTTTCTCCCAAAATTAAATACTTTTGGCGATATCTTAATTTGAAATATCGTATGACGTCACAGCGTGACTCTTTTTGTAGCACATTATGACGTAACAACCTCCCACTCATAAGCGCCATTTTATCTAAGTATTGCAACTTAATACGCGAAAATAAAAAGATACGTGTCTAATATTTTTTCATTATCTAACTGACGGACTAATTAGATTTTAATTTTGATACTCTGGAAACTACCCAATTGTTTACAAATGACAAACTTCAATAATTTGATTAATTGAAAACTCGGCAAATATTCAAGTATTTGGTTAAGAAATTAGTATTGATTGACAATTTGTTATTAGAAGTGCACTATTTTGGTGTTTAACAGATGTGATGATGACAACTCAATACAATATTAGGTGTCACTTTATTTCATCAGTTCATAAAATGAAGTTTACATTAAACATAACGTGAACAATTATTTATTTTATAACACAAGGGATTTATGAAAGAAATATAAAATTATTTCTCAATATTTATAGTGACAATGAGGTGGTTACATTATATAAAAAAACGTGTCGTTGAGCGCTGGGTAGGACGCCACCTATCAAGGTGGACATACGACCTGATTAAGGTCGCAGGGAGCTGCTGGATGCAAGTCGCTTCCAATCAGCCCATCTGGATCTGGAAGTCACTGTGACAGGTCTTGTGGCGGATATGATGAATATAAAACAATATTCCAAGTGTTACAATCTATAAATTATCCGAAGCCAGGATTAGAAGCTAAATTGAACTTTAATGTAAGTAAATTAAGGAGTTTAGTCGCGTAGCAAATGAATAGTGCTTATAAATCAGTGCCTGGGTGATGATAATATTAGGAATCACTTTTAGGTAAATGTTAACTAACAACGAATATTAGAGTAAGGGTTATTTATTTGGTACTTGTGTGAATTGTATTTTTTGTGAGTTTGTGACCTGCAGTTTTGAATATCAAGCGTCAACACGAGGGAAAAATCATCAACGAATTCATTTTTTAATGAAACCAGTCAGCTATGTAATTAGGATTAATTTTGAATGATGCGATACCTTAGGGAATGCCTTTGCCCTGCAGTGGGACGATCATGGCTGAAAATAAAAAATATAATGCGATACCTGAGTCCGTAATCTGCGGCCTCCAACCCGCTAGTTACGGTCGCGGGAGACTCTACGGTCACCGTAAGTCCGGCGAGTAAGGGTACCTCGCCGCCCGACCAGCGGCCTTAGTACGAGTTTCTTTTACGTAGAAAGTAATCGTATTGGATATGCGTTCGGCGCTGTGATTGGCCGGCTCCAATGGACAAACCAATCAGAGACCTTAGTATGAGTTTGTTGAGCGCCGAACGCGTACTCGTTTCGAATACTTTAAACGTAAATCAAACTCGTACTAAGGCCTCAGAGCACCGAACGCCGTCTCGTTTCGATTACTTTAAACCTAAAAGAAACTCGTACTAAGTCCTCTGGAAAGCGTGCGGCGCGTCGCACTCCGCGTGTCTCAAACAGCCATCAGACCACCACAGAAGTCATTGGATTATTTTCCGTGTTAATTATCGTGACCCTATAGTTCTATACTGGGCTGTACTGGACTGTCGTTGATCATGGCTTATAGGGGTAAATATTAACTACACATCAGAATGCACATAAAATGTAATTTACACAAGTAAAAAAGGTATTTTAATAGGCACAAATTATCATAGTTACCTGTAGAATTCTATATAAACAACATATTTGTAATATCAATTGATGATATATTTTATTTATTACGTTAGCTTTGTAGAATTTTTTTATTTATTTATAGATTCAAGTTTGGGTGAGGAAATCAATTATTGTGAGTGAATAGTAAATAATAATTAATATTGGTAAACACCAATTAATTTAGAATTTTACACATATGTCTAAATACTCAAACGCCACTCATTTTGTAGAAGTGCTTAACGGCCATTTTCTATATATCCTATCTATCTGTAGATTTGCTTACTGAGATAGAATTTTGACACATTTTGTATGGAGCTTATGTCACAATTCTATCTCAGAGTGCCGTAATAGTATCAAGCGCGTTCGCCGCTTTGATTGGCCGGCTCCAATGAACCAACCAATCAGAGCGACGAACGTGCTCGATACTGTAACTACAAATGCGATAGTTATTCGTGCTTGGCACTCAGTAAGCAAATCTACAGATAGATAGGTTATAGAAATTGGTCGTAAATATAGTTCTGTTACTACAAATTCTTTGTAAAATGACACGATATTCAAGTACAACTTAAAATTGAGTAGCCTTTTAGTATTCGGACGCTAAACTCAATAAGCCGCAAAAGTGTGCTAAAAAAGGATTTAGGATAAATATACAGTGATTTTGGTAAAAATTGAACCAACATATTGTAACACTGGACCATAGACAAATGAATAAACTGTGTCAAATGGGAATATACAGATTACTTTACTTTATCAATATCTTTATGCTAATTAAGATTAAAAATATTGAATATAGTGAACAGTCTTAGCAAAATTTGACCGAAACTGTATCATAATGGGTGGGAATAAAATTATTCATTTATTTTTAAACATTTATTCAAACTTATTATGGCAACATTTTTGGACCCATACGTTACATACTTGGTTTAATTTTACCCAAAAATACTATACTTTAGGCGTTGTCTTATTTTTACCAAATCGCATTTATGAATATTTTAAAAAAGGTGACAGTTAGGCTAGTGTTGCCATAATGATAAAACTTTATTCTACTAATTTTCCAATTATTATTAAGATTTGGACACGTTTCCTTTGTGCACGAATATTTATTTGAATTTTCACATATTGTAAGTGATTAATTTTTAAGATTTTTATGGCAATGTATTTAATGATATTTGGGCAAATATGTTCTCAAATAGACTTGTACTAACTTACATGCACCACAATTTACCGACATCAGTATATTTAGTAAACTTATAGTGTACCTATCTATAGTCTGCACAGTTCATAAGTAACTTTACCAATCTCACTTTCGACTGAGTCAATCTTTATAATATCGTACGCAGGTACGTACACATATACACAAAAGATATGGCTTCATTAATAACCGTATAATTTACTGTAGGTACTGAACTGAGTCTATCTTTATTTTCTTATTTGCATATTATTATTATTAAACTAGATTGTGTGGATAAAAAGTAGCCTATGTATCATTCCTGACCATAGTTATGGTAGATTATAATCTATCCCTGTTCCAATTTTCATTCCGATCCCTTTAATAGTTTTGATGTGATTTACTCAATCACTCAAACACAAAGATAGGTTCATCCCTTATTACATGGGATTCATAACATAAATAGTGAAAAGTGGGTGTTACATTGTATAGTGGCATTAAGTGCCGTATGTGCACCTCTGCCTATCCCTTCAGGGTTGATGTTATGTTATGTTATGAATGAGTAACAAACATACATACAAGCACACAAACTTTCACATTATAATATTAATAAGATAACTGTGCAGACTAACTCAAAATACTCCATTTTGCTTCTTTAAATGAACCAAAGCCTTGTTTCGAAAGATTGTTCTGACCGTACTTGATGTATGTACCTATGTTTTTGTGTACCACACTTATTGCAAAACGCGTACAATATACGCCACCTACCGATATCATTAGAATGCTCGACATTATTGTTATATTTTTGTAATAAAATGATTTTGTATTAAAACTTCATGTTATTTCAATTTATTTAACCAATAAAACTACCCCAAATTATTGATGAAAATGTTTTATTAACTGCATCGGAAACTTATAAAATTATGACGAATTTCCGGCGTAAGAGTCGATAGAAATGCCAAATGTGGAACTTTAAGAAATAGTTATGTTTAATGCGTAAGAGAAACGCCAACGTAAGAGAGATCGAATAAAAAAATCGACGTCAAATAAGCGTACATAAAGTGCTATCAAATAGTATTTTGTTAAAGAGCCATATTCAGTCAATTTCCGTAACTCTTGGCCCTCCGCTCTCCGGACGCTGCAGGTTACTTGGCCCGCCTCCCGTGCCACCAACGCCATGTAGTCTCATCATCGCCGGCTGACACACAGCTTGTAAATCCTTCAAATGCTTCTCATAATCGTCCATGGAAGCGTCACCATGAGATTCGAGCCATCGCAGCTGATTATTGCATTCATTACGAACTTTATTCTTCTCGTCCTCCGACAGCCTGGAACCAGAGTTGTCTATTGCCTGGAAAATAGTAATTTCTCTAATTATTGTTGTACTGTTGTAATCATTTCAAGAAACCGCTTATCTTAGCTGTTTTGTAAGAAATGAAGCAACACTGATATTGAATAATTGAATAGTAGTTTATTGTCGCCTTAGCGGACGAATATAGACAATCGGTCATAGATATCGTATACAGCTTTAGTGAACATGGGTTCGCGAACATCATTAAAAGAAACGACATCATTAAAAGTGGTAGGTAGCAATCATAAAAGTAATCCATATCGATGACTAAAAATAAAACACGTATTGTCTTTGTCTGTCTGCGGCGTCGTCGCGACCGCGCACGCTGCTGATGAGGAAGAATCCCTCTGTGGTTCGAAACTAGTAGAGCTTTTCTCAGTATATTCACGTGAGTAACCCGCGTTTTTACTTAATTCAGTATGTCTCACGCTAGTTATTATAAAAACAAATTGTCTGACTTAGAAACTGTAACTTGGAAAGAAATACGTACCGTCTTACAACCAAAAATGTAGCCCTCCAACTGATTCTTGACTTCGATTTTCTTCTTCGAAACTTCATCCTCTTCTTTGAAGCGCTCAGCTTCGTGCAACATTTTGTCAATATCATTCTTAGTGAGGCGGCCCTTATCGTTGGAAATCGTGATATGTTCTGATCTCCCCGTACTTCTATCGTGAGCGCTAACATTTAAGATTCCATTGGCGTCGATGTCAAATGTTACCTATGGTAATTTAAAATTTTCAAGTTTAAAAG